AATGACTATTAAACACAATGTGTGGTGCCTCACCATGTCACAAAGGCATCTTTGTTTACTAAACTGCATTGAAAGTGCATTTTATTTACACCATAAAAGCAGCCCAGATAATTATTTTCACCCTCCTAAACTCATAAGTGACAGGCGGGATTGGCCTGCCTGAGTCTCTGTTTATGGCATGTATGGTGGTGAGCAGCTGTTGTTTCACACCACCATCATGCTTAATTTATCCAAACCTCCCATTGTCCAGTACATGGACTAATTAGTCCAGCACATTTAACGCAGGGAATTTTATTTTCCTGCTTTTGCATACCATCTGTACCTTCAAATCACATTGTGATAGTGTCATAATGAATTATGCTAGATCAATTAAAGTCCCAACACTAGGATGTCCACTGTCCATTGTGACTTAGCACTCTGTGTTATCTTATTTTATCCCTTAATGATGGCTAGGTTTTAGTATCCTCTATCACCCACCTTTAGTCTCCAAAATGTTCTGTTATTAGGAGAGAAAAAACCTTCTAGCTGTCATTAGCTGATGTAACAGCCCCAGAGAAGGCTGCAGCACAAGCCCACCTCAGACCAATACCAATCAGTGATTTTACACCGAACGTTTCCCGAACTGACCTTTTTCGAGTTAATGATCACGACTCCATGATGATAACTGAGGTGATTGTAGGAGGCAAATTGTCTCCCCGTTCTCCCCGTCAAATAACCAATTTGGATTAGTGTCAGTCTCGCGCTCTTGCTCGACCTTGACTTGGAGCAGCGGCGGGACCTCCACAGGTTCATTTCTCTCTCACGGACGAGCTGGCCTACGTATTCTTCTCCATTAGCGAGCGCCACTTTGTTACATTACAGCTAATTATGAGACACCCAAACTCTGTGACCTGTGAGAGACAGGTACAACACAACGAGGTGCACCGAGGTAAGCTTCCTGCATTTTAACGATTCGTCTTGCTTGATTAGCTTCCTCGCTGTTCACACCTCCGCCAGACCGAACACCCAGGAAGCTGAACCTGGATCAAACCCAGGCCCACCCAGCTGCAGCACAGGCTGAGGCCTGACCAGACCTGCTGGAATAATGTGCTAATGAAGCTGCATGTATCTTGGATAGGCATATGCACACAGAGGCATGGAAGTAATTAACGTTGGTCTTTTTAAGGAGAAGAGAGCGCAAAGGTGACGACTTGCTGACATCTTGAGGAAGTGGGTCAATATGGCAAGATCGAGCAGTGAGAAGATATGGTGCATTCAAGTGGTCATCGTTAGTTGGAAACTTCCAAGTTTACCCTAAGGAAGTTGCACTCAAACAGCTGACAAAGTTGCAAATACACGTAGTGAACAGTGTTACCCTACACTCTCAGGAAAAACTACACTCTCGAGTTCATCTTCAGGACTTTTAGTTAGGAAACATAATTGTACCATATTCAGTTGCAGTTATGTCTTTTAATTTGCACGGACGCCAAGCTTTTTATTTTTCTACATAAAAACAAGTTATGAAAAGGTAGAAATATGCAAAGTTCCCGTGGCAAAGGGAATGTAGTACAAAACTCATTTAAAGTACACAATTAGACCTTAAGGACCATGTTGTACACTCTCAGAAAACAAAGTACCAAACTGTCACTGGAGCAGGACCCCTCTTGTCACTGGAGTGATGTGGTTGCAAGTTTTCACTCCAAACAAGCTGAAGGACACCTCAGTCACTTGTTAAATCAGTTGGTCTTAGTCTTCAAATGTTTCATCAGGTGACCTCCTGCTTTGTTGGAGTGAACACCTGCAGCCACGCCGGCCTTTTGGAGATAAGATTGGATGCTCTTGGTGTACAGGGTGACCATATTTTGGTTTTCAAAAAAAGAGGACACTGGAGGCAGGAGGACAACATGTGACAGACTATAGAAAGCAAATCTTAACATGAAAACAAAGGCAAATCTACCGATTTAGAAATCTGTCTGGAAGCATTAGTCCCCAGAAAGAGGACATGTGCTGTAAAAGAGGATGCATAGTCACCGTAATGTCGAGGGTAACTCTTCGGAAACAAGAAAATTTTTGCAACTTTTCAAAGTTGCTAGCTTGGTCTCTGTCTTAATTGACAGAGCCAGAGGTGCAAATCTCTGCTTATGAAGAGAGGGCAGATATTTATTGACTGTTAAACGGCTGTTTCTGAGCCCACCCAAAAGAGCCATATTGAACTGTGCCCTTTTGTCTCTCTGTATATTCTCACTGTGTATTTCTCTTCTGCCATGTCCTTGTGTTGGCTGGTTTTGGCTCCCTTTACTTGGCTATGCTTGGCACTGCTGGCTTGTGCTGGCGCAGGGCTTAGTGAGCCATTGGGGTTGTGCCATTTCACTGAGCCTCTGTCAAGATGGTGCTTGTTGCAGTGCTACCAGGTCACTGATCCACAACAGCTTTCTCATCTGCTGGACAAATGAGGATGCCACATGAAGGACTTGGCTTCAAGATGGTAGAGCTGTTGTCTGGTGTGTTGTCATGAAGATAAATTGGAAGAGTCAAACAGTCCGAGCTGTTCTCTGGGGTGAATTGATGATCGTATTTAAATAGAATATTCTGCATGGGAACAGATGGACCATGACCGCCTCCAAATTCTTCACCCTAAGTTAGGTTAAGTTTAGGTCTTGCCTTTGGCTCACATCTTCCACTTACAGTTCCTCACACTCCTTCTAGCAGGACATGCACTCTCACCTTCCTGTCCCATGCCATTGTGTGATCAACAGCTGGTCACTCAAAGTAACTTTTCTCTGAAGTAGAAACTGCAAGACAGTCTCTGCTGAGAAGCAGTACTGTAGTAGTCTGCGAGCAACCTGTGCGTGTGTGTTTGCGTGTGAGAGCGTTTTGGGTTCGATAAGGCGAGGCAGGGTCAGAAGGGTAGCGCAAACATCTCTCTCTCTCTCAGTGTACACCTCTGATCAGATGTGACAGGTGTGCATGCTGGAAGTATTCAAAAGACATTGATGTGAATCAAAGATGATCCTCAAACTTACAATAGGCACAATCTCCGGCTCAGGCTACGGCTTTTAAACTCTCTCGTAGTGCTTGAGCTTTGAAGAATTCCTTGGATTCCCTGCTGGCTCAGCTGGAGATGTCAAGCACACTTGCCATGATATTTAACCGTAAGCCGAATGCAGTCAGAGTGAGTACACTTTGGCCTTGGCCATACATGGGAACCATGTTTACACATGCACCTTTATGCAGGTAGCAGTCAAATCAATGTGACACAGGCTGTTCCACAGACTGGTAAGGCTATACAGGACTTTTTTTAAATCTTGCATATTGTTTTTTGTTCTGTGTTACCCCATGGTATTACATATTCATTATTGCTGTCTGCTGTGGTCAGCACAGGCGGGGTGTGTCTCATAGTGGGTGGCTACTCATACTATTCGGTTTTGTAGTTTGTGGACATATATTTTGCTCATAAACACCCTAAAAATCATTAATAAGTAGCAATAATACATACATAAAAAGAGCAACAATGACCTGTTGTACTTAATGATTTGTAAGGTGTTTATGACCTGATCAATAACTATTAATCAATTAATTTTAAACCATTTCATAAATGCTTTGTAAGGGTAGTCTTCTTGTAAAGTGGTACTAACATCCTGTGAAGAATTTAAAAGAAATAACGCCTTATTTTGTTTTTTTTTGTATGATTTGTATTTTACTCTCTGATTTACTCCTCTGTGAAGAAAAGATCATGTTTTGATTTTATATAACAATGACCGCTGCTCAGAGGAGGCTGGAGTAAAGGGGGTGGCAACTGGACGGTGGTGGAGAGCTTAACAATGGCTGCAGCCCAGCACAGAATAGAGAGACCACAAAAGTTAGTCTTTGTAAGCTTGTTAACACTGTGAGCCAGATAGAGTCACTAAATTATGGCATGTTCCAGCCAAGCATGCCATTGTTTGTAAGCGCAACATTGTTTTAATTCACTTTGTAAGTTGATCTTGAGCACTGTTGTGTCTGATCCACTTGTACCAGTGCAACACACACTAACAGACCACCACCATGTCAGTGTCACTGCAGTGCTGAGAATGATCCACCACTCAAATGCCTGCTCTGTGGTGGTCCAGTGGGGGTCCTGACTGTTGATGAACAACAGGGGCTAACAAAGTATGCAGAGAAACCGATGGGCTACAGTCTATAATAGTAGAACAGCAAAGTGAATCTGTATGGCAGGTGGAGCTGAAAAATAGACAAAGAGTGTAGAAACAGGGAGGTGGTTTTAATGAAGTGTCTGGCACCTGTATTTAAAAATGATTTAAAGAAATCACACAAGAGTAGTGCCATGCTAAGAGAGTAAGGGCTGCACATGCTTCCTCTGAAATATGTGGAAGAGGATGCACTAGTCATGTTGTGCTATGGACTGACTCACAAAACTTGTAGTACTAACCACCTGACTCAGTATTTGACCATATGGATACCCATGTCAAGTAACATTGGATTGGACTCTCTTCCACTCCCTGCATGTGGCCCCACTGGGCTGGATTTGAGGCATGAGGTACTTCTCTTCCATCTTCTTACCAGCCGTCATGAAAGCTCTTATGCCACAATATTAGAAATGTTTGGTTGTAAAAGTGAGCCTACTGCTTTTGACTTTTTTTTGGATGAGACGCTCTTGTTACAATATGTGACAGTCTTCAGGACAACACTTGCTTCACTCTTCATGCTTGAGTTTGCTCTTTTTTAAAGTTTGCTTTTTTCAAAGTGCTGAACAAAAAGCTCAGAAAACTCTTGCGTAACTTTTTGTGACGGTGATGTAACTCCTGGTTCATGCTGAGGTGAATCTCTGAGTTTGTAGAGATGCTGATTTCACAGCGAGTGCGTCACCAAGTTGTGTTGTGAAATTCACTGTATGTTCATCATTATCCACTTTTATAAAAAGACCGTATCACACCTGCCATTGTGAAACACTGATGCATCCATTAAACTGCACTTAACCAGTTGTGCTCTTGATCTGAATGTGTTTTTTCCCTCTTTCACAGGTGGAGAGAGAAATCGCTATTCTCAAGCTAATAGAACACCCACACGTTTTAAAGTTGCACGATGTCTACGAAAATAAGAAGTATTTGTAAGTATTGATCTTGTTTGCATTTTTGACCTTTTCTAATCCTATTAGCCATGAGTTACTATAACAGTTATTGCTAGCAGTGTTGTCATGGTGCAGGGGAGCATAAGAGACCAGGCATGAGGAGCAGAGGGTGATTCAATCGTTCTGTTTAAAGTGGCATTAATGATTAAAGCATAAAGCCGCCTGTTAGTCACGGCAGTCTGAGATCCGCTAATGCGGCCACGAGTCATCTGTTATGTAAACACTGCGATAATGTGCTTAACGTCCAACATGCAACTGAAGACTTTATCACCAAATATTTGTAAATAGTGACAGGTGTTGTCTTCAACAAATTGCTTGTGCAATACAGAAAATACAAAAATAGCATATTTGACATCTCTGTGGGTTTAGATTCATTAATTCAGTTGATTTTGTTTTTTTTCTTTTTGAATATTCTGTTTATTACTTTTGCAAAGTTCAACAATAACAGCACAGTACAGTGTAAACTAATAAAACACGACTTGTTTTTTTTCCCTATACCCTTTACCCTAAAGACCTGTCCATGTCTCTCTACTCCATTTAAACATAAGTACAAATAGGAAATAGATAAAATACCTAAATGAATAGAAAATAGAATTAGCATATAGAATTAGAATATAAAAAATAAATAAATAAAATAAAATAAAATATATATACACATACATATTTTTTTTTATTTCTTTTTAATAATGTTAGTATATAAAAGTAATTATCGTATCATTAATACACCACTTCTAGATCAGGCACATTGTTTTTAATAGTTACCCCAGAGGGGCATGAGCCAGTCCAGCCTCAACCTTCAAACTATAGACCTGATATCAGGACAGTAGGTAGTGTAAAGTATCGCATAGAAATCATATGATGGATTGTAAAGAAATAGGTCAGGGGCTCTCTTTAATCAGATGTTTGTAAACCCTCAAAGTATGTTATAAAAGGTAACAAAGTATCAAAAACTTATCTTTTGAGCCTCTTATAATGAACTTAATCTTTTCCATTTGAATGTGAGTCATTACTTCATTAATCCATCTGTTATGTGTAGGGGGGCAGACCCCTTCCAATTCAAGAGAACTAGGCAATTTAGTTGATTGTTTTAAATTTGTGGTTTGTATTCTAGGTGTGAATCTTTGACTAATGTAATGTCCTGAAGGGGAAGTTCATTGATTTTTCAAAATGTCTCCATAATTAAATTGTCAAGATCTAAACAGAGAGAATCAAGGTGGTTTGATGCAGAGAAGCTTACCTACTCAGATTTCTTTACAGTGGTAGTGATGTGAACCAGGGGTCAGGATGTCTACAACACGAATACAGCCCTTTTATTTACATCACAAATAATCAGTGAACCTTCACGTCTTCTGAGCTTTTATATGTAACGTTGATGACAGCGAAATAGGGGTAAATCTGGAAAACAAATATTTTCTTTGGGTGCCTCTTAATGCCCTGCATGTAGACCACTCTGAATAGTACAGAAATGTTTAAAAATCAGTGGAATTCCCCTTTAACGATGACATTGTGGATGTCCTTTAAATGTGCAAGGTACAAGGCGGCAGAGCACACACTATGTGTTTAATCTGTGATTATTCAGGCTCTTTCAAAAAAAAAAAGATCAAAATGTTTTGTTAGGTTTTATTTGCCTCGACACATCATGTCAGGAATTCTAAAAAGGCTTTTCCCTGGAGAAAAAAGGAAGATTCACTCAAATCATGTTTAGCTTTTCAGTAGTTTGTACAGATATGACAAGTAATTGCACAAACAAATCCCTCTTCAAACAAGTTGGAACAATCAGATAACATGGCATTATGACAGATAATTTTCCCTGAAATAACAGCCCCCCCACCACTCCCCTCACTACCACCTGGCCTGTCTATACAACCCTTAAGGCTTTGGCAGAAATGTGAAGAGATCTTTATACTTCTCAATCCAAACAATGCAAGTATTAGAAGAGAGATCCTTTCTCTGCGTATTCACTTTGTTTGAGTTAATGTCATTTGAAGCTCTTGATGTTCTGCCCCACGTCTTTCTTAGTGGCAGAAGCCACCACCCTAGCAAGGGTCTGATGAAAGGAGTCAGAGTGCAGTACTCCTGTTAACCTCTAATGGTTTGAAGGAGTCATTAAATCCACCGAAGGAGACCAACTGGGACCATATTGTATTAGAGTCACAGGCCGTGCTGACCCGCCCACTGGCAGCACCTATAAAACTCCCGCTCCACTTAGCACTTTTATGGCTGCAATACGAGTTACACAGCGCAGTGTTACCCAGAGCCGGTAGGAATTTGTGGGTGAGGACTGGGTATTGGATGGAGAGACAAAAGGCCAGAGGACAGTGATGAGATCAGAGAGCGACTTTAACTGCCTCTGATTCAATTTGCCAGTGGAGATGGAGAGAAGCAGGGCCGCAGAAATGACTGGAGCTGGCAGCGTGCCCACTGCCCCGACCACACACACTCGTCTAGCTTTACTGCCTTCAGGAGCGGACGACGTCTATACTCTCTCTATTTCTCTCTCTCCATTCTCTCTCGCTCCTTTCTTCTCTCTTTTTCCCCTTCTCTCATTCTATTTTTCCTCCCTCCCTTCATTCTCTCTCTCTGTCTCTCCCTCTCTAACTCTCTCCATTTGCTCTTTCCTTTGCTCTCTTTCGTTCTCGCACTCCTTTCTTTTTCTTTCTCTTTTTGTGTTTCTATTTCTCTCTCTTCCTTTTCTGTCTCTACGTTGCTCTCTCTCTTTCTCTCTATTTCTCCTCCTCTCTCTCCTTGCTTTATTTCTCTCTCTCTCTCTCTTTCTATTTCTCTCTGTCCATTTTCTCTTTCTATCTTCTGTCTCCTCTTTTTTCTTTCTCTCTCCCTCCTCTATCACTCTCTCCATCTTTTCTCTCTCTCTCTCTCTATCTGTCCCCTGTCCTCTCTCTCTCTGCCCATTTGTCTCTCTCCCTCCTGCTCCCTCCTGATCTTTCTCCCCTCTCCACCTCTCCTTTCTGTTGCTGTCTTTCTTCGTTCTTTCTCCTTATGCCTCTCTCTCATTCCCTCTTTTCCCCTCTCCATTCTATCACTCTCTCCCCTTTTTCTCTTATATTTGTCCTCTTTATGACGTTCTCTCTCTTTCTCTTTCCCCTCTCCACTCACTTCCCTCTTTCTCCTTTTTCCTCTTTATGCCTCTCATTCTCTTTCTTTGTCTCTTTTTATTGCTCCCCCTCTTCTCTCTCTCTCTCTCTCTCTCTCTCTCTCTCTCTCTCTCTCTCTCTCTCTCTCTCTCTCTCTCTCTCTCTCTCTCAATCTCTCTCTCTCTAGTAAAAGCACACAGCTCTATTTAACAGACAGCTTCCTGTCGTGCTTCTTCTCCTTTGCGGAACTTTCAATGACAGACGGACTGTCAGAACTGAGAAACTTCATATTATCCCAACTAAGCTACAAGCAGCACTTCCAACCCAACAGAAATCCACTTAATCTTTTATCACACTTACTTTCCACTGTTCGTTTTTATTTCTTCCATTTATCTTTCAGTCATGGGTCTCACAGGGAGGTCACTGCCTGATCACAGAGTATCTTATGAAAGACATGGAACTCTTGGGTCCCACAGAAATGAATGAGCAAATGTCTTCTTGTCAGTTTGTTTCTCCAGTTCGTCCAAGGGCACAGCTGCACCAGCGCTGCAGACTACAGGGAACCACTCTTCTCCCTGGCTGCTCGCTTAAGTCAATATCTTCCATGTTCTGAGACAGAATTGTCTATTCTCTTTGAGTCCTCATCAGGTCTCTTTGAAAAAAAATCCTCTAGGAAAAAGATGAACTCTTTGACTGAGGCTTCTTTAATGCTTGTTTTTTTTTGTTATCTTAATGATTTCTGTCTTTATCTGTTTCTCTTGCGTCTCTCTCTCTCTCTCTCTCTCTCTCTCTCTCTCTCTCTCTCTCTATCTCTATCTCTCTCTCTCTCCTTTCTTTTTTTTTCTTTTTTTTGCAGGTATTTGGTTTTAGAGCATGTGTCTGGGGGAGAGTTGTTTGACTATCTGGTGAAAAAAGGGAGGTTAACACCCAAAGAGGCGCGCAAGTTCTTCAGACAGATCATCTCTGCTCTTGATTTCTGCCAGAGTCACTCCATATGGTGAGTTCAGCAACCTTGTGGACCTTCATACTCACTGAACATCTGCAGCATTGCATTGGGATTCAGTGGACAGCACTGAATCAGTTTAACTTCCAACTCGAGCATAGAATCTTTCCAGTTAACATTGCTGATTTCTTCCTCACACACATTCACTTGTGGGCTTCCTCAGCAGTTCATTGTAGGTTGAGACATATTATTGGGTGGCATCTTTTATTTTTACACGAATGATACACAGCTTTATCTTCCTCTGAAATCCAGTGAGCTAGAGGATCGAAGTAGCTTAGTGATTGTCTTGATGGCACATAATATTTACAATAAAAGGAAAGCAAATTGGAAGTCTTTTTTTTTTTTTTGGAACTCCTAAATTTGCTAATACATTTTGGAAAATTTTGGCTCTCTGGCACTCTACAGCAAATCTCATGTTAAAAATCTGATCAAATAATATTTCTTTTCTAACCTTTTTATAACTTATAACTAAACAATATGAGTCTGAAAGGATGTATAGCTGTGAAGAAGAAAATTAAATGCAAATTAAATGAAGAAAGAGGAAAAAAATGCAAATTGAATGAAGAAGCTGCTGTGTTCTCAGAACAGTTAACTGACCGCCCTAGAGTCCAGACCTCAACCAACTTCTAAGACTGAACTTTGGAGGTGTGGAAAGATATTCCTGCAGATTTATTTGAAAAACCTAAGCAGGTTCCCCCAAAAGAGTGGAAGCTGAAAGATACTAAACACTGAAAATTGATTGTTTAGTTGTTAAGGCTTCTGTTTCATTTTCTGTTAAATACATGTTTTCTCCGTGACTGCAGACTAAACAAATGAAGGCTGGTCTCTGATTTTTGCACAGTCCTGAATGTAAGAGCTGTGATGTTTATTTTTAATGGGATCCAGTGTGTACAGCACGTTGTTCACCACAAGCTGACTTTTTTATTGCTTTAAACATAATGTACTTACAGCTCCATTTACTTATTACTGCACTGGATTTTACCCTTTTAAAGTGTTCTGTTATTTAATTATATATTATATATTATATAATTGCCTTTAATTTGAACAAAGAGCTAAGTTTATTTTAGAGACAGAATGTTTCTTTGTATGAAAGATTACTTTCCCCCTCATTGACAGATCATTTTATTAGTCTGTCTTGCAGCTCTTTAGTGAGTGTGGAGGACAGTGGGGTTCAGTAGTCTGACTGAGTTGTGGAATATTTCTCCCTGCCTTCTATCCTTCTCTGGCTTCATTACACTGACAGGGTTAGTGTAAGACTGTGGTGAAAAAAAGTCTGAACAGTTGACTGACTTTTTGACTGAACTGTTTATCGTATCATATTTTTCAGCTTAATCTTAATATAAATCCTTAACAAATTCATAACCTACATTTTTCCTGTTTTTCTCTTCCTAAGGTCTACTTATGACTCATGCCAAAACAGTCATAATTAACTTTAAAATGACCAATTTCCAGCTATATATATCGCTGCTGTCGGAAAAAAAGCAAAATAGTAACTTTACAGGAGAAAGAAAAAAAACTCCTTTCCTTTCAATGTAAGTCAAAGAACATGTTTTTCAAGTAATTTTGGGTCATTTCTTTTGGTCAGTTCATCATGAAATTTACACACAGTGGCAACAGGCATTTCAAATTGTCAAAAACTGAAAAATGACAAAAACAGGGATAATGAGGTTTTGTTCCAACAGCAGCAATGTATGTATTTCTATCTATTTACCTGTCTATATATATAGATTGTGATCTGATTGGCAAGCCTGTGTTGGGTCTTATTCAAAGCACTGCACTCTTTATAACTTCAGCATGCGTGAGCTGATTGAAGAGCTGCATGCTAAAAAGGCAGATAATAAAAGGCAGTAAATGACTTCTTTTTGTGACATCACAAAAAAAAATGTATTCAAAACTATCTGTTTTTGCGACGTAGTTTGAAAAGTATGTTTTGAACCATTAACATATGTTAAATAGTACATCAAATTCTTTTATAAAAAGTGAAGAAAATGGCCTATTCCATGAAATATTTAAAACCTATTATAAATTAAACATAACCTGTTAGCTCTATTTTGGTGGCTGACCGTAGGTTCGGCCTAAATGTCATATAAAGCTTCAAACAACCTTACAGTTAGTATTCAAAGACTTATTCACAAACTACTATGAGAGTAATATGTAAGTCGTGTAGTTATGAGAGTGGGGGATTGAAGTGTGGCCCACGTGCAGGCCCTTAGAGTTTAAATTGATAACCACGCCACAAAGGAAAGTGTATGTGTCTCCCTCGTCTCTACAGGTAATTGTACACAGGCTGATGGAAAGCTAGCATGAACGCTCCCCATCTGCTGTCCTTGCAAATGCATTCATACCCAAGGGGCTTTCAATTACAATGCTATCAAGATATCTAGATAAAGCTTTTTTTTTCCACGAAGTGAGCCAAGGCAAGGTGTTCTCCCTCACTCCTTTCAGCCTGCGCTCTGTGTGCTCGTCTCTCTCGCTCTGTGCTTTTTCACTGCCATGTCTGGGGAGAAAAAGCTACTTTTCTCCCTCATCAGTCAGAATGTGTTAGACTTTTTCTTCATCCGTCACTCTGTCTCTCGGCCTGAGAGCCTTCCAGCATTTCTAACTGGCATCCTGCCAAGCCTTAGCCACTTTTTTCCTTTGCCGGCATGCTTTTCATTTGCCTTAGAATAGTAAACCAGATCAATTTGAGGTAAATCTATGCTTGGAAACTCACAGAAAATGAAAAAGAACGTTGGGGGTTAATGGGTTAGACGTTTCCTTTAAGCAAAAAATATTTTATACATTTGAAGCAGAATTTGATTGAATGTGGTGTGGTCAGGAGAAATCCATGGATAATGGCGGATTTGAAGCGGCGAGGAATGTGTTTGTTTCACCGTTTCTTTTCATCTGTCACAATCTTGCATCATTTGTGCGAGCCTGAATGTATTCGTTTTCAAAAGAATAGCATTTATTTTGCTATTTGCTGCTGGGGATTTTTTTAAGCTTGTTAAAGGCAATGGAGAAGGTGTAGAGCTCATAAGCTGCTGCCTGTGGGCTTTATTTGCAGTTTGCCTCTCAGCTAAAGCTAAGGCTCTCCCATCACTGTGTGGTCAGGAGCCCCTACAGGACACTGCTGATCATTAGTGGACTTCACTGCATTAGGCTCTGCTTCAGCTTCGCCAGAGACCAGAGAGGAGAAGGACAAAAGGAACTCAGAGAGAGAGAGAGAGAGACAGAGACAGAGACAGAGAGAGGGACAGAGAGGCGTACAAGACATGTGGTAGTCATACGTGTGCGTATTTCTCTGGCTGCAGTCTTTGTTCTCGGGTGACTGTGCACAAGTGTGGGCTTCGTCCCTTCTGATCCCATGCAGATGACCAGCAGGGAGGGCATTTTGTCATTCTGTCCTCTTTCTGTCCGTCTGTCTTTCTGTCTTTCTAGCTTTCTCCCTCTCTTTCTAGTTTTTTGTTGTTTTGTTCTCTCTCTCTCCCTGTCACTTTTCTCTTTTTCCTTTCTCTCTTTCTATTTCTATCTCTCTTTCTCCTCTGCCTCTTTTACTTTCTCTCTCTCTCTCTTGTTCTTCTTTTTTTTCCTGCCTTGTCTCTCTTTCTCTCTTTGCCTCTCTGTATTTCTCCTCTCTGTCACTTCCCATTCACTCTCACACTTTTTACCTCCCTCTCTCCTCTTCCTAATCACTTTTTTCTTTCCCCTCTTTGTCTCTTCCTCTCTCCCTCTCTCTTTCCTTCTCTCCTCCGTCACCTTTTCTTTTTCTCCTCTCACTTTCTCATCTCTTCTGTGTAACTTTCTCTTTCTCCTCTCTCTCTTTCACCCTTTTTTCCTCTGTTACTTTTTCTCCTCTCTTTCACCTCTCTTTCACCCTCTCTCTTTGTGTGTCTGTCTCTTTATCTCTCCATCTTTCTCCCTTCTGTCACTTTCTGTCTGTCTCTTTTTCCCTTCTCTCACTTTTCCTCCATGTCACTTCTTCCTTCTCTCTCCCTCTTTCTCTCCCTCTCTCTCTCCCTCTCTCTCTCCCTCTCTCTATCCATCTCTCTCTCCCTCTCTCTCTCTCTCTCTCTCTCCCTCCCTCTCTCCCCCTCCACCTCTCCTTTCTCCCACTCTTAGACACATATCACATGTTGTGGTTCAGCTCCCCCGCAGTGCCCCTGAACAGCAGCAGCTGTATGTGGGTGCTGATGGTCTGCTAGCACTATTGTGACGGATGGTTTAGTGGTGTTATTGTGACGGACGGACAGAGTGACAGACGTGTTTATACAGGCCGCATGTTCTCTGCATAGACAGTTTAACAGCTGAAGACTGGCTGTCTGTCCCCCCAACCAGCTATCACCTCCTACTGCCTCTCTCTGCTAGAGAGAGATAGGAGAGAGGGAGACTGTGTGCAGAGCAGAAAACCTTGAGGCATGTGAAGAATTCACATCTTTCTGTATGTCTTACTTTTATTTTTATTACATTCTCTTCCAGTAAACTCCAAAGACAAGGAGGGTGGGACTGATAGAGAGAAAGACTCTTAGGGATGAACAGAAGAGGTTGGCATTGTCCTTTATAGCACGTTAAGATTGCAACTTACTGTGTGTTTCGTATTTACAGGCCAATGTTATAGAAATTTTGCTGCTTTTTTTTTTTAATAAGTTTGATGTTCTGTGTAAAACAGAGCTCATTTACATATATCAGTATTAAATTCCACTTGTTAAGATATGAAATAAAGCCCGAACCTGACTTGTGCCCACATTTTTAGACCCGATGCGACCTGGCTCTGATGGTACCGAACCTGAACCTGCTCACACACAATAACAGAAATGGACTGTCACAGATGGTTTTTCAGTGCTTTGTATTTTTGTGGAATTGCTGATCATACCTGGCAGAGAACATCCAGCTTCCTCTGATCAACTGTTAGCCCTGCTGCTAGTCGCAAAAGTGCTTAACACACTTCAGACAAACTTAACAAGCAAGGAGAAAGATCCACTGTGACCTTTCCATCAACCCAACACATCCCTCTC